ACGTTAGGAGACCTGCGCCCGGCGACAGGTTGCAACCACCGCTGGACGATGAGAGCGAATCGAATCTGAGACCAGTGAGGCATTCGCCTCTGGTTCAGGCCAGCCCCATCAGGCAGTGACCGAGGATATCAGTAGAGTTTCCAAGGGACGTTGTGTTTTCGACCCTCAGATGGAGGACAGGAGGACAAGTGGTGATTAGAGAGAAGTTTCCCTTTTTGAAGAAGTAAACCGGACCAGCCATCACCACCTCCCTGTCAACTCTGTGATCATGAGATCAGGGGGAGTGTGGGGGAAAATAGAAACGGCCTACCTCGCAAACGTTCTCGCATCTTCCTGGCCTGTGGGTTGAGAAAGGAAAGAAAAGATTCAAAATGGCGTCCGTGACTTTTAATATTCACGGTCTCGTGCAGTCACGCAAAGTCGCGTTACACACATGCTAATGAGGTGTGTCTGGGCTCCATAAAAGCGGGTTGCTTGGAGACATTGGCAGACCAACATTTCACCCGTGCTTGGTGTACATCGTTTTGCGTTGCAGACATTTTCAGACGGAAAGAGTTGCGTCCCTTACACTGTTTAAGTCGACTCATTTGCTACAAGAAGTTGAGAAAATTATTTTTTAAACTAAATTTTGTATGCTGACAAATATGGCAATTCCTTTTTTTAAAATTAGACTAAATTATTTCTTTTATTTTTAAAATTAACTTCTGGTAACATTTTTGTGATTTGCTTAAAAGAAGAAAATTGTGCAACATTTTTTTTGCTGTTCTATGGTTTAACTTCTGAATGTTGTTTTTTTTTTTTTACCCAAAATTAAAATTTGAATTTATCTTTGTTAGATGCTGCTTTTGGTGAATTACTTTTTACTAAAAGAAACAAATGTAATAAGATAGTTTTGAAAATGACACCTTTTTCAACCCCACCATCCAGTTGTGATATGGGAAATTGTCAAATGTGTTGTTTGATATCTGTACTTTTAAGAAAAGGCAAAGGACTCTCCTTTACCTAGATTGTCTTTGAAGATCTGAAGAAGGTTCTTCACACCCACTCAGGACTTTCAAGTTGGGAGACATCACATACGTTGTTTGCAATTCTTTTAGATTTGATCAGGAATAAGTATAACAATTCACCCAATGGTCAACAGCTATTTCTCTAAAATTTGTAATAAATAATCCAGCCTAGTTTAACTAATTCTTTTATTTTGCCGTAACTTGACAGCCTGACCATTTTCCAGACCAAAATTATATTTTTAATTGGCTACTTCTAGTTATGGGGTAAACCTGTTTAGTTTTATGAGCTGCTACTTATCTCTACAATTTAGTCTACTATCAACTGTCATCGGAAATTAGTTCAGATTTTTCTTTTATTATTTTTATCATTTTCTTATCAGGTTTGTGGATTACATTCTATACTATTGGATCAGTTTAGTGTATGGCATTTTTTCAATATAACAATGTTGTTTTCAAGATTTGGCTGCAGTTCTTTCCTTCTACTTTCAATATGGAGAAGACCATCTTGAGGGAAAGTTTGACCTGTTCAGATTGGGGTCTCATTATGATTGAATGGTTTGAAAAGGCTGAACTAGTCTGTGATCTGTGCAGTATGAAGAACATTGCTAACATTCTATCACTTTGATTGACAAGAGGCATGTTTACTTTGTTCCAACAACTCGGCAAGGAAGAAAGAAAAGATATAGGAAGTATCAGGGATGCCCTGTACATTGCTTTTGCCATAGATCCATTTGTAACATACAATCAGCTTGTAGCTAGGTGCTTGAATTCAAGTGAATCTGTAGATGTCTACTTGTCAGACCTCCATGATGAAGGGATGTGTATTTGTAGCAGGGTTTCCTGAGCACATCAGGAAGCTGCTTCTCGCTTCCTCTTGAATGAATGCACTGGATGTCACCAGCTATTAGACTGGGCTAGAGCCATACTGAAGGATGGTGCTGGAATTGATTGTGGAACTTGCAAAGCCTGCGTAAATAGGTACAAACTTGACTTCTGCCAATGATACAGTGATATTGTTTGTCACAGATGTTGTGGTGCTATGCACTTGGTTAGATATTGTTTGAGTTGATGAACTGGGCAAAGTGGATGCCAGTGAGGAGACAAAGCCATCCGGTGCTATCGCTGTGGCAAACTGGGCCATATATCACGGAAATGTGCAGGAAATGGATCAGGGGAACAGATATCAGTGCTCATTTCCCGCCCAGATATAAATGTGGTGCTGCCTGTAGACAATGTATTGGTTGATTGGGAATGCTGTTCAGCTCCCATTGATTCTGACTGCTCTTGGTCAATAATTAGTGCAGAGCGGTGCTAGTTGTGGATTGGAAAGCACGTAGATGTGGAGATGATCAGTGGCAGAATGCAGGTGTGTTGTGGTATCAGGACAGTTGCGGCAGTCATTATCTGACAATAACAGATTGTGGCCTGTCATTGTTTTCTGTATGGTGGCCATTATACTGCCAAGACTTATTGAGTATCATACATAAGCTGGAGTCTGTGTTCTGTGCCAGGGAACTACCACATGAGATACTTACAGACAATGACACTGTGTTCTACAACAAGGAATTCTGGGCCTTTGCCCCTGGATAGGATGTTCATTTGCAATTCTGATGTGCGCATGTCCTGGCAGGAAATGGAATAACAGAGCAGTGTAACAGAGCAGTGTGAAGAGGATTGCAGCCAGGATGAGTGTAGTGTTGAAGAGGCCATCTACTGGTACAATGTAAACCCCAAAGATGATACCACATAAATAACTGCACCTGCAAATCAAGTCTACAGAATACAAAGTTCAGCTTAAAGAGCTTGATTCAGTGCCTCCAATGTGGGCCACAACCAGTACAAAATGGGAAACCTGTGTGAGTAAAGGCCCCACACAACCATTGTACAACAATTTTGGGAAAGGGATGTATTACTGGACATGTTAGTCTGCAGTCAGTCTTAGTGAACAGAATGCTCTGCCAAATCAGGGACCTTTGTCCTTCCCTGAGTTCACAAGTAGTGAAGATGATATGTCTGAAAGTGAGAATGAAATCCTTGTGAGCATAGATAGGCAAGATGATTCCATGGAGGAACATGATCAAGTCCCACTTCAGCGAAACACTTGACGAAAGAGACCTGCTTGAAGTTGTTGCGTCAGTGATCAGGAGATCAGGGAGGAGTGTTGTGAATGCATGTCAGTAAAGATGTAAAAGAAACCTTGGAGTGCATGTGGACATGTTCTTCAATACCAACAGGTTTTTCCCATTAGCAGTGGGACAGTTTGGCATGTCTATATACAAGATATATACTGGTCAAGAGCCAGGTCTTTTGTAAGATGCCCCTCATGCCAATAAAAGCTGGAGTAAAACCAGCAGTCAAGTGTTGGTAAGACATGAAGTCTGTTCCATGGGCATTTTGGTCCTCAAGTTGATGTGGTTTCAGTATTATTTTTTGTGGGGAAAATAGAAATGGCTTATCCCCCAAACGCCCTTGCGTCTGTCTGGCCTGTGGGTTGAGAAAGGAAAGAAAAGATCCAAGATGGCGTCCGTGACTTTTAATATTCACGGTCTCGTGCAGTCACATAGAAAGTCGAAATTACACACATGCTAATGAGGTGTGTCTGAGCTCCATAAAAGCAGGTCGCTTGGAGAAATTGTCAGAGGGGCATTACACCCGTGTTTGGTGTACATTGCTTTGTGTTGCAGCGTGCCAGACATTTTCAGACGGAAAGAGTTGCGTCCCTTACACTGTTGAATTTGACTCCTTTGCTACATTTTTGTTACCTCCCATCTCTTTCCCCTCTCTCTGCCTATTACTCCCGTAGTTGCTGGGAGAGCAATTGGTTAAGTGTTTTCCCCCCAATCTTTGCTTACATTGCAATGCTTATATTTATTTCTGAATTCAAATACAATGGATTCCAAAATATTAGCATCACTTACTGAATAAAATCAATTTTCTGAATTGATTTTTACACCTTATTGTTTCTCTAAACACATGGAATAAAACAGTTGTTCTTTAGAAACCTTCTTCTATTACTATTATGGGGAAAACAGTAAACTACCTTATTCTTGATTGTTCATTCAGACCTATTTGGAGATAATCTACATTTTATCCTATTAGAAAAAGACAGAAGTTTCCTTGTTTTTCTGGTGTTTCCCTCTTTTGATTTTGCACATTTGATATACAATTGTAAGCAATTAGCATGCAACAAGGGTTCAGTTTTTAACTGGACAAATCCCATCAATTTGTCTTCAATTCTTCTGTATTAGTGTGAGCAAAAACTGGGAATGGTTCTGTGTACATTCATAAGGGAACATAATGTGAAATAATGCCATAGCAAGCAAAGAAAACACAAATCCTGCTTTTATGATATTGGTTTATTTATTCACTTATCTACCTGGTATGGCCTGGTGGGTAGATAGCTGATACTGAGGACATTTTTGTTGCTACTTCTGTCTTCTTTCAGATTAATGTATCAGATCTTCCCTTACCCAGGAAGAACTCTGACTTTGCATCTCTCTTGTTCTAACCGTCTCTCATCACTCTGACTGCTGACTCTCTTTTACCACCTCTTCCCATCTTTGCATCATAATGTGCCTCTTTCTGACTGCCTGTCTACATATATGGCCAACCAGCAGCTTGTCACTGACCATTTTGATCATTTAAGCCTGCAGCTGGAACTCTCAATCTTCTGACTGAGTAGCACTTGATCCTGAAAGTTTTAATTCATTTGCTTTACTTTACTTATCTTATTCATGGACAGTGGGTGGCTATTTTGAATCTAGACTTTACTATTTGTTATAAATCACCAGACTCTTCACTCCTGGATGAAATGATTTTGAAACCGCTTGACTGTTGGTCTTCTAATCAAGGTCAGATCCCATTTTCTCACACAGCTTCTGGCTGAATTTTTTAAGATTCCAGTTTAGTGCTGTCCTAAGTCTTTCTTGTTACTATTCATGCGTAGTCACTTCTCCTCCTAATCAGTCATTATATAGTCTGGGTATTCTGGACATGTTACTTAATCTACATATATATCTCTCTATAACGAAGGGGTTTTGTGCCCCTTGTTTTTTTTGTGCTTCTATCATTTCATTTTCAGGGATTCTTTTTCTCTCCCAGGCTCTTAAGGTATTTCTTTCTCTTGATCAATCTTGTTTTCTCTCATTCTCATGGCTGTATTCTTGCATTGACTGGCATTTCACAGTTTCTGAATCATATTGTCCTTTTTGAGCATCAATATGTTCATCTTCAGACATTTCATTACTCGAGGTATCCATGGACATTTCTTTGTCAGACATTTCCTCCTGCAAGGGTAGGTTTTGTTTAGCACTGTCATTACTTGAGGTATCTGTGAACATTTCTTTGTCACTTTCCTCCTTGTATTCATCTCATTGTCTTACTTGATCTGCATGGGCTAATATGCTACTCCCATATTTTCTTATTATTGTATTATGTCTTTTTTTGCATTAAAAAATTTGCCTTCACTGGGAGTGTCTCCTTATTTTTCATGTACCACATTTTCTCATTCGTAGAATATGACATGGTTAAAGGAGCTCTGATCTGTCTTCCCATTAAGGCCGATGGAGTCCCTAACCTTCCTGTATTTGGTATGGTGCAGTAACTTAAAAGCAGTCTAGGTAAAAACTTATTTCTCTTTTTGTTGCAAACATGCCTTCAAGCCCATCTTTATGGTTTGTACCATCCTTTCTGCTATCCCATTCAATTGGGGATGATATAGAGCTGTCTTGTAAGGCATACATCCTATTTTCCTTAGCCACAAATCGAGTTCTTTATTGCAAAACTCTGGGGCATTGTTGGACACCAGGGATTTTAGTATTCCATTTTATGGTGAATATAACTCTTAAAACTTGTTTTACAGTAGAATTTCTTCTTTCTGGCACACTAATTACCTCAGGCCAGCCTGAAAAAGAGTCCACTAATATTAATAAGTCTTACTCCACTGACCTATGTGTGATTTATGTGAACCCAATTCCATAGTTCTGACTCTTTAGGCCAAGAATGTAATTTATTTTATGTAAAGTTCCTTATTTCTTTACATTTTGGACATCTTTTAACATATTCCTCTGCTTCTTGTGAATATCCAGATCACCATGCTTCTAACTTTAGCCTTTTTTTGTGTGGCCACTATTCCACAGTGTACATCTTCATGTACGCTTTTTATTATCAGATTTTTGTGTTTCTGGAGGGATCACTAAATTACTGTGACAAACTACTCCATTCTCGATTGTCAATTTATATCTTATTTGTTTGAATTGTCTTTCTGCTCTAGAACAATTACTCCATTTGTTATTTCTTATTCTTGATATTATGCTGCTTAGTACTGGGTCTTGTGTAGTTTCTGCAGCCATTCAATCCACAGACAAAATATCGGTCTCTACCCAATGTAAAAATGTGTCCTCAAAAATCTCATTGCAATCTTGATAATGCATCCACCTGAGGTATCATATGTTCCTTTGTTATCTATATCCAAGTCAAAAGCCATCAATATTATCACCCACCTTAATACCCTCAATGTTGTGACTTTGTGTAGTTCTTTTCTTGGATTGAATATAAATTCTAATGTTCTATGATCAGATTTCAATAGAAATTGTTTCCCAGTTAATAATTGACTATCCTTAATCATCGTCCAAATAATTATGAAAGTTTCCTTATCGATGTTTGAATAATTAAATTCAACTTTTATCAATCTTCTTGATAGATACATTATTGGATGTCCTTCTGGGGATAATATTCCAGATATTGAATGCTTACTGGCATCTCTAGTTGCTGTAATTTCCTTTCTGGTGTCAAATATTTTTACTACTAGTTGGTTTGTGAGGATTAACTTTAGCTTATCAAAAGCAATTTTCATTTCTTTTGTCCATGCAAAATCAACATTTTTTTTTTCTCAGCTTTGTGTATGGTTCAGTTAAATCTGTATAACATAATACATATTGATGATAAAAGTTTACTAATCCCCCAAAATATTACAGTTTTTTTTTATTAGTGGATACTACTACATTTAGTTTTTTTTTTTCTATTAACACTTGATATGGTGATACCCCTTCTTTTGAAATAGAATATGCCAAAATTGATACTTTGTTACTATTATGTACGCATTTTTTTGTTTTTTTTTATATTCACTCCTGCACTCTTCAACCCATCTAAAATGAGGCTTGTTTTCCTTTTTAATTCTCTTTCATTGATAGCATCTATGCATATATCCTCTTGATAACAAAACAATTTTTTTATGTCATTCCTTATGACTTGTTCAATGGCCTTTTGAAAAATATCACTTGCTATCTTTATCCCATAAGGCATTCTTTTCTAGCATAATAAACCTATTGGCAAATTTATTGTTATTTCTTTGAAATTTTCATCTATGGGTATCTGATAATATGCAGTTTGTAAATCTATTTTAGTAAAAATCTTCATTCCTGTTAAGGAATGTAAGGCCACTTTTACATTTCATATGGGATATGAATCTGAGCATAATTTATGATCTACTCCTACTTTATAATTGCCACATATGTGTAAGTCTCCACCTGATTTTCTCTGGGGATGCCCATTTGCTTCCACCACTATGAACTTGTTCCAGTAGGTCTTGCTCAACCAACTTCTGTAGTTTTCCTACTACTAATGGTAACAAATGTATTGGTAGTTCCCATGTCTCATAGTAGGAGGGAGTGGGGTAACATTTTCTTTAGACTTTTGCTTTGTAGTTTTTTAACATGCCTGTTTCTTCTATTTTTACTGCATTAATTAATTTTATGTAATTCATGTTAAGTATATAATTTCCAATAAGTCCGTGATTCTTTTTGCAATTTGCAACAATGATGGCTATTTTTTTGAATTTGTTTTTCAATTCTATGGGACCTTCAAAATACCTCAATGTCTTTATAACTGACCCATCAAATTGGTGTAACTGCATATGGCTCTTATGCAGTTTGGGTTTGCCTATATGCCCCTAAAAGTTTCTAGGGATCAATGTTACTTTGCTGCCAGTATCCATTTGCATATCCAACAGTATGTCATTTATACTGGTTTTTTTAATAAAATGTTTTTTGCTTTGTTTTTTCCAATGAAAAAATTCCCATAATTTTTTTTTTTTTTTTTAATTCTTTCCACTTTTTTCTTTTTAATCAGATCTACTCTGATAAAGATAACTTTGCAAGTTGGATTTAGTCAAATGCAAAATATTATTTAAAAGAATTCTTTAAAAAAAACCTTTTCAACCAAATAAAGTAAGATATTGAAAGTCAAACATGAAGATTGTTCTGTTGTTTAACTATGTGATATTATGTCAGGGTTAACAATCAACTGGGAAAACAGAATTAGAGAATAAATGTCAGGGAAATCAGGGAATTTTATAATGTAACTTGACATGCATTGAATAACATATGAATATGCTTTTTATCTTTTTAAATTAAAAATTGTTTGAAACTATAAGCTAATTGTTATTTATGTGATATATTTGCTTTCTAGGATTAGGATAATTTAAATAAAAATGTATTTCTTTTCCATTCATCTTACTATTATCTCTGCTACATGATATTCCAAAATCAAGGAATTTCAGTGGAATTTTTCAGGGACATCAGGCAGTTTTATTGTGATCATGATGGAAAACCTGTTTGAAAAATCTTCAGGCTTTGCTAAATTTTGATTCTTTGTGAGAGAGAGAGAAGGAAGGAATGTTTCTATGAATTATTTTATTTGACAATTATATTGACTTTACTTCTTTGGATCACAAAGTTGTAGAAGATCTGTGCTTATTCTCAATTTATAATTCAGCACAGAAGTAGAATTCTTTACTTAGATGTTGTCTTGAACTTTTTCAGCATGAGAAAAACAACCTCCATTGCAGTTGCCCTCCTCCACCCAATCAATTCCATTTCTTGGAAGAATGTATCATTTTATACCAAGGATATTTTTTCTACTAAATATCATTTTCTGGAAGGATGCTGGAATTTGGAAAACTGTGCATTCTTTCTCATCTTTTCAAATCTGTTAAGGTTTCCTTTTTTTGTGATATCAAATTCTTTTAGCAACCAGATGAGAATCCATATTCTAAAAAGATAATTGGCATCAAAAGAAATCAAATTGACTGATATTTATTCATTGGCTATTTGTAGTGAAATAAAACTGACCATACAATAATTTCTGTATCAACAACATTGGCAACTGAACAGATTTCTAATCACCATTTTTAACAGACTTGTGCATTTATTTAATGATTTCATGGATCTTATGCTTTTATAGTCTCCATGTTATTTCCTCAAAAAGAAATAATATATTTCTTGACTAAAAGCATATTTGTGGTATATGTATTTTGATCACTGCAAAAACAGTCAATGTTGAAAGAAATAATTTTAGTTTTTACTGTGCATCAAAATATCATTCTCAATTCAATTTCTGTTAAAACTGTATATTGTTTGTCATTTTTCTAACTTTTTCCTGTAGTCCTTTGTCTACTCCTATGAAGCAATTCCCAAACCAGTCATCAGCTGCCCATTGAAAATTCAAATGTGCCACACTTCCTTCTTCCAAAATTAGTCCTCATTCTGTTCGCATTTCTTGCAATACAATTGGTAAAATTAATCAGTCTATTGATAATTGTTTTGCTTTTAATTAACAAAAAAAATCTGTTATTTATTAATTACTGAACAAAATTGTTTCAGTTGATATTTCTCTCGTTTAATTGCTGACAGTTTTTTTCTCTGTAATCAGATCACATAGTCTTTTTCTCTTCTGTATTAAATGACTGCTTGCTTTTCTTTTATGACACACACACACACACACACACACACACACACACATACTCTCTCTCTTTCTTTGATTAGTGATTGATGTGAATTTTTCTCCCAATTGAAAACTATTGTGGCATTCATTTTACATTGCATTGTTTAAATTTCTTCTGTACAAATAAAAAAGAATGAAAGCACTTTCAAAAGAACTTGTCTTGAATTTTTCATTATTCTATTGGCTGTTTTAGTATTTTTCATTCAAATTGGATTTTACTTGAAATATTAAACTATTTTTGTCATGAATAATTGAAATAAGTCGCACATAAGTTTAAAATAAATTTTATTTTTTCTTTCTTTTTCCAAAAGTTGGTTGTTTCATTGTCTCTTTCAAGCTTATGAATTATTTTCTTTAAGATTTTTGTAAATCTTTTTTGTGTATTGATAGTTACCAGTTAAATTTCTGTTTTGTGAAACATTTTGAACAAAGAAAGCATCACTTTTCAAATCTCAGGATACAGCTATGTTTCTTTAATACTTACCTGAGTGTATGAATAAAAATCAAAAGTGTGTGTGTGTACAACAGAAAATCTTCATGTGCTTAACTGCTGTATTTTAGTTGATGATAAAAGATTATAAAACAAGTAGCTTGTCAATCTATCATTAAAAAAATGTTTCTCCAACTATTATTTTGGTGAGGAAGGCATCAGCAAATGTTATAAATAGGGCAAAACAAATCTTGTTCTTTTTATTTTCATTTAGAATAACAACAAACTACAGTGCATTAATGAGTTGCATTAATTTTATAATATTTTTATTTATTGGGTTTTAAAAATGCAGTTTATAATTACATTTCAACAGTAAGGTTCAATAATAATAATAACATACTACCCGAGGGAGGGAGGAAAAAAGAGAATATACAAAATAAGAACATCTACAACAGGTATTTTCACCTGTTCCAGAAAAAACTTGATCAGAAAGAAAGAAAAAATTACTGAACTGTTATGTGATATCTATCTTCCTATATGGCACTGAATGTTTGACAATTTCCTCAAAGATGAAGAGACTTGAAGCAACAGAAATGTGGTTCTACAGAAGGATGCTGAGAGTAACCTGGACTGAATATGTGTGCAATGACAAAGTTTTAGAGAAAATGGAAACAAAAAAGGAAACTGATACTTAACATCAGGAAGAGAGTTGAAATTTCTAGAGCATATGATGAAGGAAGAGGGCTTAGAAAATCTGGTAGTCGCAGTATAGATTGAAGACAAGGGGGACAGAGAAAAAGAACACATAACATACTTAGAGAAGTTATTGAAATGGATTACAGGACATTTAGGAGAAATAACAAAAAGACAAAATTTGTTAAGAGCTACAAAAATAGGAAATTATGGAAAGCCATGATGGCCAACGTCTTGAAGGGACATGGCACATAGAAGAAGGCTTTTCAATTATTGCAGCTGAAAGAAAAATAAAGCAAGTCAGATGTTTCTTAATATTTACTTAGATTTTGCTTTTACCAAATCATACATTAAAGCATTTCTTGCTTTTCACAATAACCATTTCACAGAAATGCAGAACATGTTTCAGTCCTTCTCCTTTATTGAAAAGGTTGATTCAGTTTTGGAATTTTAGTAATTGAACTTTGTATTTGTTAATTTAGAAAAAATTTTAATGCTTGATTTTTAATTTCTTCTTAAGGCTAAAGACACGTAGTCCCAGATCACCTGTATTTGGAATGATGTGGCTGACTGAATTTACTCGCCAGATGCCTCCTCGTTTACATCATTGGTGTGACCAAGGGGATAACTTGCAACGTTATGGATGGCTGAAGCATGATGGCATTAATTTTGGTGTGCAAGAAATTGTAGAAGATCAGTACACCATCAGGACAGAATTTGTCAAAAGGCCTGGAGGGGATTATGGTGGAGATTGGACAGCAAGAGTAAAACTTATTCCAAAAGTAAGTATATATAATAATTGTTTGTCATTGCACTTTGTCGTTATTAATCATAGATATTAATTTCTTAAATCATGGAATAGGTTTAGAATTTGCCTAGCATGTAAGACAGTTTTGATCTTTTAGTTGAGCTAGCAGTTAATTCTGTTTTATCTTCACATAATTCACTCACCCACACCCAGTATTTAAAGACTTGCAATGTTTTGATAACTGTCATTTGAAGAGATAAAAATTATTTCTTGCCATCATGATGATTTATTCCATGCAGATATTTTAACATGACTTGTCTTCATTAAATCCCAATAATTTTTATGCCATCTTGATTGGTGAAAATTTGAGAAATTACCAAGATTTGAAACCTAAAAGTAATTTTTCCAGTGGTTTATATATATATATATATATATATATATATATATATATAGTGTATATTTAGGCAGCAATTTTTCATTGATGCATGTTACATTAAATAATATAGACAAGTTTTGTCTATTTATTTTAAGTTCCTTTCATATTGTCTGATAAGCTTAATCCCATTATTGTTGAAAGACGAAAAGAAAACACCATATTGATACATGTTTAAATCCAATCTAAGCTTTCGGCTTACACAAGCCATTATCAAAGATGACAATTTCAATAAATCAAACAACACGTGGATGAAACAACAATGATAGTCCTTGTTGACAACACAACTATGCTTAAACGTGAGAACAATAAACAAAAATTAAAAATTCTTGAAGCTTTATACATAAAACAGTTGAAACCTAACCTGTATAAAATAAACTATGAAATCTCCACAAATATCCTTAAATGCCAATGATTTATAACAGAAGCCATTGGTTTATACCAACGGCTTCCCATACTTAATACTTCTTGTTTTTCACTCTCACATGGTCATGTGTGACGTCACAAGCTGCAAAGTGATTTTCGCTTCCGTGTCTTGTATATACAAATTTGTTGTTACTTGGAAATTTTCATGCAGCAAGGGCGGACTATCATTGTTGTTTCGTCCGTGTGTTGTTTGATTTATTGAAATTGTCATCTTTGATAATGGCTTGTGTAAGCCGAAGGCTAAGATTGGATTTAAACATGTGTCAATATGGTGTTTTCCTTTCGTCTTTCAACGATAATGTGATTAAGCTTATCAGACAATATGAAAGGAACTTACTTAAAATAAATAGACAAAATTTGTCTATATTATTTAATGAAACATGCATTAATATATATATAAGGAACAAGTTATAATTGTTCCAACGAGAGAAAAGTGTATATTTTTTAAAAAGAAGCGAGAAACTGCAAATGATTTTGGTTATAATGAGGATTTTTAAAAATATATATTATACTTTATTTTCCATACCATTGTTTAACCATTGTCTTTTTTGTGTAGTAGTAACCCAAATGTTTCTTCTTGGACTGGTGGCAAAAGTCTTCTTCTGCTTAAGGGGTAATAAAACAATTAGGATTGGTCAGAGAAAGGGGGAAGGAAGGATGTTTTCGTTATCTTTTTATGACCACTGTATCTTAGATCTATTTCCATATTTGTGTATTGGTGTGTGTGTGTTTTTCCCAGTATGTCTATGCATATTCTTTCTCCATACATACATACATACATACATACATATTGTCTTATTATAAGGAATCAGTATATACAGACAATGGTTAAACATTGTAAAACATAAGGAAAATTAATTCCTTTTAATAATATGTGGAAAATTCCATTCTTTGCCTGATGAAAGTTGCAAGAGTGGAAACACATGTAGCAAAAATGGAAAATAAAGTATAATATATATTTAAAAAATCCACATTATGACCAAAAATTTTTGCAGTTTCTCTCATCTTTAATAAAATACACACACACACACACACACACACAGGTTGGCTGAAAAGTTCATAGGCTGACCAAAATACAATTATGGAATATGACCAAATGATTTTTCAACATAGCCCTTCTTGCTGTTCATAAACTTCTTCCATTGGTGTTGCAGCTTTCATCCATTTGGTGAAAAAAGTCAACAGCAGATATCACATCCTCATCACTGCGATACTAGTTCTTAGCCAAGTGTTTTTTTTATGTTGGGGAGCAGATGATAGTCATATGGGGCCAAATTAGGAGACTAAGGAGAGTGATCAACCAGTTCAAAGCTACAGTGATGCACAACAGCCATTGAAACAAAGGATATGTGTGCTGTAACATTGTCCTAATGAAACAAGACCCCTTTCGTCAATTTTCCTAGGCTGGGGATTTGTTGTTGATAGCCATTTGTAAATGCCTCAGAAATTAGGCATAGTACTCTCCATTGATGTTGTGGGCCTTTTGAAAATGGTCAATAAACAATACTTTTTCATCCCCCATAACTGAAGTCATTACCTTCCCTGCAGTTGAAACAATCTTTGCCTTCTTTGGAGCAGGTGAGGAGGGATGTTTCCCAACACTCATACTGGGTTAGGAAACATTCAAGGAGACTAGCTGGATATGCCCCAAGTAATGTCAGATTTTACCATGATGTGATCAGCTTGTTGCACTTTTGATCAGGTGCCAGAAGATGTGCTCACCGAGCAGAAACCTTCATCATGCCAAGTTCATTGTGCAGAATATTCTCAACTCTATCACAGGATATGATAATAGCATTGTCTATTTATAGATTTATAGTCAGTTTTCTGTCATCCACCACCATGTGGTGAACACTCAATGTTTTCTTCAGTGGTGGCAGTTGCAAGATGTCCAGACCTTGGATCATCTTTAAGACTCCCTTCCTTTCCTAAATTCACTTGTTCACTGGAGCATCAACCCCTAATGTACCAACCACTCAGCATGAATGTCCTTGGGTCGGCTAAAAACGTTTTTCTGCAGTTACTTGATAACATCACGATGCCAAATTTTGTCAATTTTCAAGAGAAGTTGCTAGTAATTACATTTGATGTCTTTTATCAGTCAGATGTCAGTTTACATGAAAATAAACAATGCAGTTATTAATAATAACAGTTGAAATGAATGCATACAAGATTTCAGAGCTCTAGCATCACTTCTTCATAGTCAGCCTATAAAGTTTTCAGCCCATCCTCATATATAATGATAAAAATATAGTTTTAAGTTATGTTATATTTATGAGTAAAAGTGCTCAACATCAGTGATAGTGGGTGTATGTAACTATAAAAGTGCACACTGAGTGGCAACAATGTGTTTCATGCTTGAACATCATATATATAATCATTTTAAAAATAGTTTTAACCATTTTACCTAAATGTATTATAGTTTCATTTTCTTTAATTTTTGATAAATTTGATTAATTTTTTACTGAAATTATCACACTAGATTTTAGTTCTTGCATCCATTTGGAAGAGAAAGACAACTTCATAGTTAGGTTTTAATTGTGTTTTTCTTTTATTTTGCAATAAATGAATATCTTGATTTGTTTTTAAATAAATTTTAATGTAGTGGGAACCAATTCTAAAAAGAATAAAGACATTTTGGCTTAATAATAAATAGTTTAAAATTATTTGTCTAATGTGACTGATGTTTTGTTTTCAGACTTCTATAAGACCTGTGGTTGTGTCATTAATGTTCTATTTGGCATTGGATGGCAGTGGAAATCTACAAACTTCAACAGCCCAAAATCGTTTAAAATTAATTTCTGGTTTTACTGAAGAACTCGGGGATTTTGAATTAAAATTTAGTAAATCTTCTTCTTCGTACCAGAAATATCATTATTTAGTGACTTATGTTTCAAACTTGGACCATTTAACAGAAACGGTTCAAAACCATTTCAAGAGGGAAACTTGGGATAAAGGAAAAACTCTTCCTTATTTTGTACTCGGTGGAAGATCTGTTCCAAGAGATGCTCCGAGCGGTCCAAATTTTGTAGTGCATCAAGTTACTGCCTCACTGCCAATGGAAATAGAAATCTTATTTGAGTCACAGAGTTTTAAAAGAGAGAATTCTCTCCAAGGAGAAATCTTTACAACTTTGCTGAATAAACATATTGAACAATTTGACAATCAATTTGAAAACCGATTCCACTTATATGAGAAAGGTTTTAAAACTGAAGAAATAAATTTTGCCAAAGCTGCCTTAAGTAACATGATAGGGAGTATTGGATATTTCTACGGGTCATCTGCTGTTAAGTCTGTGTACACACCCGAACCTGTAAACTATTGGGATACAACATTATATACTGGTGTGCCCTCAAGATCATTTTTCCCTCGAGGGTTTTTGTGGGATGAAGGCTTTCATAATTTACTCATTGTACAGTGGAACCCGACAATATCACGGGATATCATCTCCCATTGGTTGGATTTGATCAATATTGAAGGTTGGATACCACGGGAGCAAATTCTTGGTTCTGAAGCTCGGAGAAAGGTACCAGCTGAGTTTGTTGTCCAACATAACACAAATGCTAATCCACCTACATTGTTCCTTCCCTTGCAACAAATTATCAAACAATTGGTGATGAGCAATAAACAAGAAGACCGAACTTTCCTCAAGGCTGTTTATCCTCGTTTGAAAGCTTGGTATGCCTTCTACAATGAAACGCAGGTTGGCAGCCTTCCTGGCACTTATCGTTGGCGAGGGAGGGACCCTTTTGTTAAACGTGAGCTGAACCCAAAAACACTAACCTCCGGCCTGGATGATTATCCTCGAGCATCTCACCCAACAGATTATGAGCGACATGTGGATCTACGATGCTGGATGGCCTTGGCATCTGGTGTAATGCTTGACATTGCCAAGACACTCAGTATGGATTGGAAATCTTATGAGGAAACCTATAATTTACTAACCGATAACAAGCTGCTTGATGAACTTCATTGGTCAGAATCCAGGCAACAGTATTGTGACTATGGTTTACATTCGAGCAAGGTAAAACTGGAACTTCCAAAGTTGCCTCCACCCAAACCTGGGCAGCCACCAATAAAACCGGAAAAAGTCAGAGTGAACATTATGGAACCAAAAGATCAGTTTGTAAATTCATTTGGTTATGTAAGTCTTTTTCCATTCTTGTTAAAAATAGTTGATCCTAATTCTCCAAAGCTTGCAAAAATCCTCAAAGACCTGAAAGATACTCAGCTGCTCTGGACTGACTATGGCTTGAGGTCCTTAGCTAAAACAGCTCCACTTTATAATCGGTTTAATACTGAACATGATCCTCCATATTGGCGAGGTGCCATTTGGATCAATATCAATTATTTAGCCCTGCAAGCTTTGCACCATTATTCCATCACAGAAGGACTATACCAAAATCAAGCAAGAACAATTTATGATAACCTGAGAAGTAACATCATCAAAAATATGTTTAAAGAATACTTGGAAACTGGCTATGTGTGGGAGCAGTATAATGATCGCACTGGTAAAGGAAAAGGAAGCCATCCATTTACAGGATGGTCTGCTCTTGTTGTTCTTATCATGGCAGAAAAATATTGAAAATTTCTTGAAATGGCAAAGAGAATACACAATTTCTTATTATCAGTAAAATTTCATTTTTCAACAAAAATGGAAAAATCAGAATATTCAAAATATTTGAAAAACCTTTTATTTAAATTTTATTTAAAAAATGTTTTCACTTTTTTTTAATATATATTTTATTACTTGTGTTTTTGTTTTTAAGAATTACAAGCATTTTTGTAAAATCTCTTCTTTAAATCTAGCAGAGCTGAGTCTGTCTATAAGATACATGGAAGTAGACATCAAAGCTGTTTTGAGTTCTAGAACATTTGCAGCTAGGAGTTCACTTTTATTGAAACTTAATTTTTATGGTTGTTAATGTATTTTTCCTTTAAATCCGTTTATATTGAATCTATTTTTGTTCATAAAAAGAACTGATGTTTTTTTTCCCTTTCTGAAGGAAAGAAAATTCTGTTCTTTGGGTTTTGTTTCCTTTTACAAAAACCTTTTCCTTTATTTTTTAATACATAAATTTCCTTTCTTTTTTTTTTTTTTTATTTTCAATGTCAAATTGGAGGATTGCTTAGTAGATATATGCTGCAATCTGGCACAAGGCCATAGACAGATTCCTTATATGTTATATAAACTATGATATTGAATATCTTTGGTCAGGGATCTTATTGATAGAAATATGTTCATACATAATGGCTTTTAGTTTTTCTTGGTTATCAAAATCAATATTGATTCCTTTAGAAAGAAAAAGAAAGAAAGCATCTAAAATTTACCAAAACAGTCTTATGTAGCCATGAAATAAAATTAAGCTGGTGTATGTATGTTTCCATGATGATGATTGATCCAACACTAAAAATGTTGAAAACACTTTTGCCTTTTACTTTTCCATTTTTTAAAGTTTTTTTTTACCTTTTTGCACCGAAAGAGAATATTACACAAATTTAGCTTTTTAACAGCAAGAATTTATCTAAAATTAAAAAAATAATTGGGTGAAAAAAAAATGCCTTAAAATTTGTTTTCAATAAATAAAAGAAATTTATTCTTGTTTGTTTGTTTTTTTTTGTTTTGTTTTGTTTTTTTTTAATTGTGCATTTTACTTTTCTTCCAATTACATAGATTGTTACATAAATTTTTTATTTGGTAAAATTTTACCAAATTCATCTTTTTGAGAAAAAAATAAAATTGAAAAAAAAAATCTTTCAAGTTGGAAAAATCTGATCTTTAATTGTCTTTTCTTTAAGATGAACTTTTTTTATTTTTGTTATTTTTATTTCATCCACTTTATTTTCTGTGTTCAAATTTTGCTCCTTTCCTTTTATTTCCTGTTTATTTTCCTTTAAAATGTAAACTCCTTGTGATACACACGCATACACATCGGCACACATGGGGCATCTCAGGAGTAAGATGGCATGCACTTAAAGAAAACAAGAAAGGTTTTATTGAGAAATGAAACAATATTTTCTAGTGATGGACAATTATGAAATGAAATAACAATTAATGATACACCTGTAATTTTTGTAGGCAATCTTTAAAACTGACTTGAATAGCCATTTTTATTGTGGTAAATTCAGATTACCTCTCAGAGCAAAGTTTTACAAATATTTGAAGTAAACAATCAATTTAATAGAATATCAATGAAAACGAATTAGGATTATTTAGGAATGAAGAATCAAATAAACACTTTATACTTTAATAAAACATTTAAAATTGTATATACCTCCTTTTTATAAGTTCATGATTGTATAATTGAAGTTAACTTTAACTTTTTACATTAAAACAAAAACTAAATTCTCTTCACTGATTAAGATAGGACAGTTATATATAAAAAAAAGAGTGATTTTCCATGTTTCCTGCCAATTTTCCTTTGGCTGAAATGTTTTTTTTATTCTCAAGAATTTTCTGTCAGCCTCTTATGAACTTCTTGTAGTTTAAGTACCAACTAACATCCATAAATTTTAGTTTTTAACCATCATAGCATTTTGTTAACCTAAAAGAAGTGAACTTGGAAATTTCAAAATATTTTTATCTTTAACAAATTCAATCACATTTACCTTTTCTCTTAATAAAAAGGTAAAAATCACTAACTGGCATTTCCTTTTGTGCTTTATATCTATATATAACTTTTCTCTTGGCTGCCCTGGTAAAAATTAAGGCAGTTGACAGTCTTGAATTGGTCTCTATGGTTTGAGCTGTCGATCTCACTCCAAGTACCACCTCAAATAAGTATATTTAAGCCAAAGCAATGAGGACTGGCCTTTTTAGCCTTATACAGCCTAAAGTATGCAGGTGATGTAGATAATCAAATATAGTAGTATTGTGGCCTGGCAGTGATGGTGGCTGTTAATAATTGATTAATGGAAAAAAGTCTATATTTCAGAATCAATCTGTATCAAAATAAAAATATACAAAAAAGAAAAATGATATTGAAAAAAAAATTATTTTGTATTTCACTTTTCAGATAGGTACATTGTCTTACTGGTGTTGGATTTCTCTTGGACTACTGATAATACTTAATCAGTTTTATTCTTAAATATCCTGGATTTTTCTTTAAACTTGGCATTTAGCATTCCCTCCTTTAATCATATACTTAAAGTATGAAACACAAAAAATGCCATTGTTGATAATGGGCAGAATAAATTAAAAAATACTTTAAAACATGATGTTAATAAGTATGTGTTTAGGTAATTTATGATGATATTTTGTACTTTGGAGGTTTTGTATTAAACCAAAAATATTTGTAAAAATTCTTGATAATGATGAAACTTAATCGGCTATTTTTTTCAAATTTTTCTTTCTTTTTGTTTGCTTTCACTCTTGGTAATAACCCAATATCATATTTTCTTCAATTATTTACTAATTTTCGATTTATATCAAAACAAAAAGCAGTAAACTGTTTACAATTTTTTTTTTAAATATGAAAATTGTTGCTCAATTTAAATTTTTTGTTTTACTTTTGAAAGATCAATTTTTTTCTCTATCATCATTTGTTGAAACAGCTAGATGAAAGTGATGATGATTTTTATTTATTTTTTACCCAATAAATATTACTAAAGCAATTTACTAAACATTTTACTTTTCAATACTCAAATATATGCAGAATTTTATTATTTTGTAGTAGTTTGTTATTTGTGCATGTATCTATGTGATCTACTAGTCTTTGGTTTACCCTCCTCTTACTACAGTGACATTCTGCTCCAGCAGATATTTACTAAGATTAGTTTAAAGACCTACTCTTTCAAATAGGAAGAATCTGTTTGCTTTGAAAATCAACATTCCAAGTATAGGCTTTTACTTGGGTTTGAACACCAATCACTGGTGTTGGTGGAAAATACCTATCTTAGCTATCAAGTAGCTATTATATGGATAAACAAAGACAAGAAACTGCATAATTTCTAAAGAATAATTCTTTTTTTCTTTTTTACTCTAGGGAATATTTAAACATTCAGTTGCAAATTGTTATTCTTTTCCAGAAATATCCATTTTTATGTTGAAAACAAAAACTCTTCCCAATGCCCAGCATCTTTATTTTATTTTTGTTAGGATAACCTTTCTTTTTTTTTAATTTACTGAATTTAACATTTAGTGATGGAAATAACTACTAAAAATATGCAAATAATTTTTACCTCTTCGTATTTGCTTGTTTTAAGTTGGTACTGTTTTGTTTTCTAATACCCTAAATTTAACTGTATATGAGTAAGATTTCTTGCAGTATGAAGTCAGAAAAAATGACCAAACACTTGAGTGAAAAGTTTATCTACAAAAAGAAATGCTTAAGCATCAATTGGCATATATCAATAAGTAATAAGCAAAAAGTTAAAATCTTGATTTCTTTTCTTTTTGTTAGTCTTCACTTTTCTACATAAACTTTTTCAATGATTTTTTTAACTACTTTTCTATGTGCATGACATTTTAATTGAAAGTTCAAAAATATTTTGACTTGTAAACAGTGAAACAAATCTCTTAAAAAAAAAAAAAAAAAGCAATAATTATTAAAAGTGATATATTTGGTTATTAAAGATAAAAAGAACAAAAAATGCTTTACTGTATATTTTATTTATCAAAAACCCAAATATATGTGAACCTTTTTAAGTCTAGATAAAAATAAAAGGTTTGAAACCCACATTGTGGCATGGCAACTCTAATATTTAATTCTTTATAGGGATATAAATTAAAATCTACATAGTTTGCTTATCAATGTAATCTATGTAAATTATGTGTGTGTGTGTATATATATATATATATATATATATATACACACACACACACATAATATTTTAAAATTCTGCTAAGTGATTAAAGCAAAACATTTAAGATACTTTAAATTCACTTACAATTTTCATTAATGAACTAATTGAAATCCTACAGAATTTTTTTTCTTCTAAATGGAATATCTCATTGTTTAACTGAATTGTCTGTTTAATATTTATTCTATTTTGATCAATTCTCTTAGGAGCATGACAACATAACAATTAGAACTGTCTGCACCTCACACTTGATCTTATTGAAAACCATATTTACAGTTTACTTTACACAAAAATAAAAATTCCTGTTGCATATATATTGCAAATATATCCTTTCTGTTTGTGCTTAAGGGATTAGATTATGTGTGTATGGAGTAACTGATAATTTTGTTAAATATTTTGGGAAAATTGATCACTGTTTCAATGACCTCTGTCCAGTTATTTCCCTTTTAAAGACAGTTTTTTTTTTTCCTTTATTTAGATTTGTGCTACAATAATTATTCATAACTGACCTTTTGCATTTGTTAAAACCATTATGAGAAAAATATTCCTGATCATCCCAGGGCACATTTCTATTTTATTTATTTTTTTAAAATAAAAGTAAACATGTTTCATGAAACCAGTTTACAATTCTGATTGGATTCTTCAGCTAATCAAATATGAGTTCTCCTAACTTGCTCTTCTCTGATGATTATCCCCAAGTTCTTCAGGAGTTGGGATTGAGTGTAATTGACTAGAACTGTTAAAGTACTAGTAGTATTGGAGAATTATCTAAGGTGCAAATGCCATTTAATTTCTGAAAAAATTTGGCAGCTAACAAGCCAATTGCAGTAAACAGTCTGTGACTGAAATGCAAAGCTTTCACTGCCATTATATTTGCATAGTCTCCTCAAGACATTTCAAAATTGACCCATTGTACTTGAACATTCTTGAAGGTAATTAAAATAAATGCGTTTTACCTTTTTTCAGTCATAATTCTTAAAACCCATCAGTGATAAAAACAGTCCAATTTTTTCACTTTTATATTTGCCTTAAAACATTTATAAGGTACAATGATTAACTAGTTAAATAATTTTTACCCAAAGTTAATTTGGAAATCATATAAAGTACACATGCCTACATACCATGGGATAGTCTTTTTTTTTTCTTTTTTTTTTTTTATATAAAGTTTCACCTAATACAAGGCTCGAGAGCTACTTAAGGTTGAGGGTTAGTTAAAATGGTTATGATGAATGAGGTGTGTAATAGGAATAAGAGTAAATGGTAGGAAGTGAAAATTATAAGAATAAGGAAGATAGATGATGATTGACCCTTGACTTGAAGTCACTTTGATATAGAGCTAGAATTTCTCTTTTGAGAATATTTGACATTTTATTGATCTGTATCTGAAAATGATTTCAATAATGATGTAGAATTAAAAAAATTCCTTTCATATCTTGAAGCTTTGTACAAAAACTGGAAAGTGTGATGTGAGCTCGGAATGAATGTTTCCAGTAGGAATAAACATCTGATAACTTGAATATTTAAGTTATTCATTGCTTTGTGGATGGTTATTCTAAAAAGAGAAGTAATGAAATAATTTATAAATTAGAATGTGCATAATGAGTGATGACTATAATTAAAATTTTAACAACCCTTCCATTTGATCTTGTTTTATGAAATCGATTGAATTGAGTCAGACATTTTATTCAATCGAGTTAGTCTAAAATGGTTTACTTGATTTTAAATCTGTCTATATTTCTGAGATGAGGTATTATGTACATTATTTACATTATTCGGACTATTGTCCTCATCTTTGTCACCATATTTATCTAAATATGGCGACAAAGATGAGGACAATAGTCCGAATAATGTAAATAATTGATTTTAAATGTTTGGATGCAAAAATTGTTGAACACAGATTGTTAATCATATATTTAGTAACAAAAATGAAGTTATATTTAGAATTCATAAGAATTAAAAGCACTAATGTCTCTGACAATAGCAAAAAAAAAAAATTAACTTACAGTCTACATTACTTTCTTGTCAACAAGACAAATAGCCTTTCAACATAACAATAGTTTTTGCTTCTAAAAACATATTTAGTATTTTTTTAACCATTTATTTATGATTTCTTTTATTTTTAAAATATATTGTTGCTAAACTGGATTTTTTGTGTGTATTTAGCTACATTAGCAAAAAACAGTTTTCCCTCCTTAAAATGTATTTATTACTTGGTCCTCCAACAATTTTTTTTTTTTGTATTAATGAGTAAACACAAATTTGTTTGGTTTGTGAAGAAAGCTTTGCATGTTCCAAAGGTGCCCACATTTCCAGGTCTGTGCTCAGTGAAAAGAGCATTTATTTAAAAAAAAAAAAAAAAATTTAAAAATTTTTTTCCCAAAAAACCCATTAAGTGGCTTCCCTTTTGTAAAGTAACAAAAAAAAAAAGAAAAAAAATTCAAAACAAAACATTTGACTTCTTTGTACAATTGTGTTTGTAAAATCTGACATGTTTTTGGTATGAGGGTAATTCAAAGCATGTGAACATCTCTGATTATAAGTGAATATTTAAAAACAAATTTAAATAGAAAATTTAAATTTTTAGGAAATATTTATTTAAGTATAGCATTATTTTTAGAATTATTTAAAAAATAAAATGTTGGGATTTTGATCAATCAAGGAAATTTGTATTATCTAAAAATTGATTTAGAATAATTTAAATAATTTTTGCGTTAATAGTTGTGTCCACGATTAGGTTAAAGTTTATTGATTCTATTTTACCTGGGTCTTATTTAGACATGCTTATTCTTTTGCCCTACAAAGATACACATATTTTCCACATCTATTTTTAAATTAGTTTTAATGCTAGCCATTTATTATTATTATTAAATCTTCTTAAATGCAGCTTGGTGTGAAAAGAAAACTTTTGTTTCAAATCCTCAAGTTAGAAATTTGAAGACACAGGGATTCTGGATTGTTGTGTGCCTTCAGAGGAATTTTCTGTTTGCAGACATTTTGGGTTCATTTCAGAATAAAATTAAATTCACAGAAATAATTGTTGTTATTACAAAAGTGAATTTTGAAGAAAAAACTTAATGCAGGAAGGCTAGCAAATTTTTAAGGACATTTGTTTTTAATGTCCATTCCTTCCAGTTTTCAATTCCTGCTGTTGTATTCTTTAAAAAAAATTTACCCTCATTTCTTCCATTTTCTGTTTTTTTCTTTCTTTTTACCAAAACTTGAATTTTATCAATGAAAGTTACATTGTCTTTTACAATTCTGAAAAGTTTAATTTTCAGCTGAATTTGTGTCATCAAATATTTATTTACAGTTGATTAAGAAGTTGTTAATAAAATCTTTCTTGTTTTTCTAAAGTATTTAAATTCAAGTGAAATAAATATTTGCACTTTGTGTAGAAGTAACAAAAGATTTCCTCTGCATGTCTGGAATTCCCACCACCCCACCTCACCCCATGCCAATTTCCAATGGTCACTTGGTCAATACTGACCTGCAGTTTTTATCACTGCTTCTTACTCTTCTTTATCTTCTGATTCATCTTTCATCTGACCCTCTCCAATAGAAGCTTTCCTTCCCACCAATAGGATCTTTGCATTAATTTAAATATTAAAACAGAATGAAGCAAAAACTATAACAATAAACTTGTCAGTGAAAATACTTCAATTTTCTCACCTTTTTTAACACTTAGTAATTATTTGTGATTTGTACCATTTTCAACCATGGAAGATTTTATAATTTTGAATGAAAAATTCATTTTTCCATGATGTTGTCTGTGTGTCTCATGATTGTAATGCATGCAGCACCTTTTAACTTGTTCAATTGTAACTGATGTTGTTACTTTTGTTCTTCATGTGCTCAAATGGAAGTAGGCAAATGATCAATTGAACATCTTACTGGTTACACACTATTAGTGGCCTTACTGTTCATTATTGAATGCCTCTGTGCTGTAAACAGGCATTGCTTGATCTCAAGCTGGACCATTGATTGCTGTGAATAGTCTGTGAAGAAAACACTTGAAAATGCCTTTGGTGAAAAGTTTACTACTCTGGCTGCTTACATTTCATATCATAAATTGGATTTTTACACTTTGGACAATCAGTGCTAACATTAAGTTTCTAGTTTTAGTTTCATTCTTTGTTAAAATAGATGGAATTTGATTTTGCTTATTTTTGAATTTATGAAATGAAAAATCTATATGTACTGTTTCTTCTCTCTATCTATGTATACGTGAGTTTTTGTGTTTGAAAATATATTTCCAAAAGTTAGTTTTAATATTTACTTAGTCCCTTCCCCATTGCAATGATGTCCATGTTTTGCAAGTGAAAATGGTAAGAGGGAGTTATTACCAATTTGCTGTTTGCATGATTCTCACACATATACACGCATATATATATATATATATATATATATATATATATATATATATGTGTGTGTGTGTGGGTGTGAATGATGCATTTGCCAGCAAAGTACTGAGTAACCTCCAAAAGTTGATTATTCTTGACTGATAAAGTATAAAATGTTTATTCAAATGAAACATGTGTAAAAATTCAGATAAATATTTATATTTCACATTCACTTTTTTAAATGATGTAAATTCTCTGCATTGAATAAGATTACTTTCTTTTTTCCTATCAATGCTTCACTTAAATAAATCTCCCATTTTCATATAAAAACAACTATTTATCTTATTCAACCATCTTATATGACACTGTCTATGAAAATATATATTTTTTTCTAATATTTACCAATGCTTATCAAAGCCTTCTACTTGCTGATTAGAGATACTAACTGATGAATCAAAATTATGATTTCATCTCATCTAACATTGGTAAGGCTTGTTATCACAAATTTAACTCTTGTATTGGAAATAACTGATAACGTTTAAGAACCATTTCTCTTTGTAGTCAGTACTTGTAAAATTTGCAATACTCATGTGTTGTGAAAATGTAAGCATTTCCTTTGAACTCAGAACAACTGAGTTGTTCTCTTCATTTTTCTTTCTTTCTTAGTGAACTTATGGACAGTAGGAATTTCACTCTTAATCAATGCATCTTCATTGCACTGAGAGAAGACGAATAACTGGGCATATCTTGATGTCTGCAGTATGTTATGAAACATTTCTAAAACATTTTTTTGTCTTAGATTTTTTGGCCTTCTGCCTAAATTAATCTTTGCTTTTGTAAAATTTTACTTAGTAAAAGTTTCTTCTCTTAAATTTTAAGACTTAAAATTTTTCTTTTGTTCCAATTTTAGATTTAGATTTGTCTATTTGTATTAAAAATTAATCTACAAATTAATAAGAATGTGTCATTAATTTCTATTATAGTGATAAAATTTAAATATGACTTGTCAAATGCAATGGTTTGATCAATTTTTGCCCCTTTAAATGAAAACTTTCATTTAGAATTAGTTTGACATGTATGTGAAAATTGTTCTTCACTGAATGTTTGTAAGATATTTTCTAATTTTCACTGGATACATATTTTTATAAAAAAAAACAAACCAAAAAATAACATCTATAGAAATTCTATAGATTGAAAAACTTCTTTATTGATTTTTGAAAAAGATAACTTCTTTTAGATTAAACAAAAATCATTCCCTTAATTGTTTCACAACAAATGTCTTAGATTCTGCTTTGAAAAAGATTTTTGCTAAAGTAAATGTCTCTGTGGAAATGAAACAATTTTTTGTGAGCCCCATTTATCTACATTTTTCTGTTATGCATTTTGATTTGATTAAAGATTTTTAAAAGATTAATTAAGATTTTATCACCCAATTAACAGAAAATTCACTTCAATAATACCTGGGCAGTAATGAATCTTGTTCAGGCTGAAGATTTTAAAGCTAAATAACTCTTTATTCTCTGCCTTCTATAATGCTTGCTCCCAGAGAAAGAGTGAGAGAGAAATCCAAATTTGAATCCCTGAACATCTTACAGTGTAGAAACTTCCAAAATTCAGGGTGGAAATTAGAGGAGGGAGAAATACGAATGCAATCTTTTGACAGTATCTTGACTGATGCTGTAAATCTTTCAATGTAACTCCCTTGTTTTTTTTTTCTGGACATTTCAACCAACCACAATTTCTTGGAAAACAAAAAAGAATAAAAAGTGATAAATAAATGATTAATTCCAGTCAGGTAAGAAATTGATACAACACTCCTGGCATTATGTACAGTGAGAAAAATGCACTGAACTGGTTCTACTGACATACTGACATTAATGTGGGTCATACAGCATAAAGGAAAAATCACCTGTAGATTCTGTATAAATTTCCTGGCATTTCAATATTTATATGAGTTATGTAACACCAAGTATGATTTTTCTTATTTTGTAATGACAAATGTCTTATGAACAAGACTCTCCTTTTGTCACTTCTTACCAACCTGTGGACTAGACAAAGGGATGTCTTTTTGCCCACATCTCCTTGGGATTAAATAAGCTATCTTACACCTCAGACTCTGCTTAGAAAGCATGTTGCTGGAACAGCTGTCAAATTAATAATAATAATTGATATTTGCTATTTTCATTGTTTCTTGATGAGTTTTTTTTCTCTATGAAAAGCTAGCATCAGTCCTGAATCATCAGTGCAGATTTCAACACTATCAATCATTTTTTTCCTCTGTATAACAACTCATTTAACTCATCTGCCTGAAAATTTCATCCTCATCTAACAAGAATATTTAATTCCTTCAATATACATAGATATATCCAGCATTTTTCTTAGTTGTTTTTTTCTTTGTATGTATGTATGTGTGTGTGTGCATGTCTCTGTGTAATGTTGTGATGGATGATTTCTTAATTAGCACACATGCTGCTAACTTCAGAAATTGCACTAAATATAATTTGAAAATCATCTCTGAAAATAATTGAGTTTTTCAATTTCAATTTTCACACATTGTAGTGATTTAAATTTTACAAATCAGAGCTTGAAAAATATGATGTTGCTAAATTTATCTTTTGATGCAAAAAACCTAATAAAAAAATCCCAAAAGAAGTTTTTGAAATTTTTGCTCTGCTGTGACCTTTTGTTAACAACACTTCTTCATTCATCACTTTATCTTTTTCAAAATGGGTTTTTGTATTATAAAGTATTTAATGTATAGAAGATCTAAATTCCTCTGCTCTCTTCCCATCCAACATCTGCTCCACCCATTCACATTTTGATTTTCATTTGTGTCATTTTTATGTGTATAGTTCAAGACATTTCATGTTTGCTAGCTCGTCTCCTTTTAATTGTCAAAGGAAAAAATTGGGCACAATTGCTAGTGTTTACCACTTGAGCAGTGATCTCTGCACTTGGCAGATGATCATATTTATAGACTTGTTTGCATTTTTCATCATCATAAAAAATTGTTTTTTTTTTTTTTTTTTTTATTGTAATGTTAATTACCTGATTTGATAATGCAGAATTTGAAACCTTATTTTTCAGATGTTGTGTAACTGATTACATTTCAAGTTAACATGTCACCTGTTATTTTTCTCTCTCAAAAATTACAATCCTTATTGATATGAATTTTGATAAATCTTTTATTTTACTTGATATGAAAAAAATTACATCTGTCCACAAACTATTATTTTGTATAATTTTCATATTTTCCTTTTTTTTTTTTTTCTTGTAACCATGATTCTGTTGCTCTGTAATCTTTATTTTTTTCCTTACCTCCAAGCTCAAATCCTGAATAAATTGCTGTTTGTTATTAATACTTTTCCAGTCAGGAAACAATGACAAAAATGAATTGATTTCTGATGTCATTGTTTTTGAGTAAACAACTTTCTATGTTGGAGGATTAACAAAAATAGAAATGAATTTAGATTGAAGTCTTTATTCTGAGACATATTCAATCTTATTCAAAATGAAATCTACCCATTTCCCCTGAGAAATTGAATTTTTTTTGTCATTATTAATAATTATACCATTTCAATCACATTCGGTTGCTTTTCTCTTTGAATACATTGATAAAATATTTGTTTTTTATCAAATATTTATTGTCTTTTAACCAAGAATAGTAAGATCTTTCACTTGACTAATGCACTTTTACTTCATGATGATAATTATTTGAATTTAAAAATACCCTGTGTCCCTTGTTTAAATGTTTCATTTTTGTTTTGCACAAGCATCAGAATATTGTCTTAATATTATTGCTAATATTACAACCTACATGACTGCCAAAGTGAATTTTCTTCCTTTCAATTAAATATCTTCAAATAAAAATTATATTAGTAA